ATAAATATAGTATGTTTATATACCAATCAATTTAGAGATAATCTGAGGAAAAAAAATTAGCTTTTTGTTCCCTAACGAATTATAATGATATTGAAGTCCTAAACACAGAATAATATAAATTCTTCTCTTCGGCTTCTCGTTTTATAATCAAACATCGATACGAAATCTCAGCCATGGTGACGACCTATCTTAGAGAATAACATATTGGAGCTGCAAAATAATATGTTATCCTTCACTGCTAACTCTTCTTTTCACTTACCACCACCGTGCTTTCCTTTACCGTGCGACATAAGGGCACCGTCCGAACCGAAGGACCTAAACGAACAACAGAGGACATGACATTATATTGAGAGGATATTTTGGAGATATATTAGTTAGAATATATATGAGATATTTTAGTATAAATTTGATTAATCGTATATTTTATTTATTTACAAGATTTAGTTAGATATATTATTTTTTTCTATTTTTAGGTATTAGTTAATAGTTTGTATCTCTTTAAACGTCGTAAACCTGAATGAAGATCATACACTTTTCCGGTTCTATTTTCTATTTCTATTTCTTAACACATTAACATCCAATGATGATGAGTAAAATCGATATATATCGAGACAAAGAAACCTGTCCCATGATTTGCAAGAGAACTGGCCACCGGATTTTGGATGGCGGCTTTGGCTGGGGTATTCACAGGTTTCTTAGCAGGGTGGGGAGTGGCTGTATGGCCGCCCTTTTTCGCACCTGGCAACAAACAACTAATAAGTTCAGGACCAATTCAAATCAATGGGGCTTTTAATGGCGTACCAATAAAAAAATTTGAGGCTTATTAACATTAGTCGGAAATAAATGAAGGGTTTAGAAGGATCACCGGACTTCTCAGCCGAAGCTAGCTTGGACTTCTTAGAAACAGGGGTCACGGAGAAAGAGTCATTCGACCTCTTCTTGCTCGATTCGACCTACAAGAGCACACGAGCTGATAAAAATGATGCTAAAAGGAAACTATAAATGAGATTCATTAGATGTTTCAATATAGAAGTTACACGAGGAGTAAAAATACACCTTTTTCTTTGGTGTCTCCTCACTCTCAATATCATCATCTTCATCATCAGAGTCACTGTCAGATCCGAGCATTTCCTGCAATTTGTCAACATAATTTCATTATCTAATGAATACTGAACAACTAAACAGAAAGGGTTCAGGGTTATTATAGCTGGGACAATGCCCAAATCAAAATTGAAGAAACAATCAAAAACCTCAAAAGGTCGCCATGACAAGATTAACTAATTGAATAGATAAAATTCCAAAACCACAAATGGTGAAAGCTTGTTGCGTGAATCATGAAGGACAAATATGTTTAAGTTGCATATCATTTCCTCTATGCAGTGTTTTGAAAGCACATGAAGAGGCCTATCCTGATGACTCCCATAATAATCACTATAGAAGCGAACCAAAGGTGTCATTACTACAATCCAATATTGAAAACTCACAGTAAGAACCAAATTAATACCAAGAGTCATTATTGAATCATGTATACTTAGTGATCTCAATTTCATATGCACGACTGATATTAACTCTCCAAAGAGATAGACACGAAATACGATAACCCTCAAGAACTTAGGCACAAGACAAAACAAAGTTGAGGGATTTGTTATTGGGGAGCACACAGTAGGAAAGTGTAACTAAAATATTTACATATGAAAAAAGTCTTCTATTAAGAATACTAAAATAATGACAATTTTAATAAACTAGGGCTTTTGTCAAATATTTGGAGAAAAAAGAAGCTTCAGAGGAAAAGCAACTCCCTTCGTATAGCAAGGCACCTGTGTCATGCTCTTCAGGCAAGGAAACAAAAACATCTTTTTCAATCATTTCTCCCAGAATATAATAGATGCAAAAGACTTTGATTTCAATTACCTCATCAGACTCATCACTTGAATCTTCATCATCAGATTCGTCGTCATCTTCAGAATCATCATCCTCGTCCTCCTTGCTTGGTTCCAGGGACTTAGAATCTGTCTTCTTTGAAGTTTCGGGCTTCAAAGAACTATGTTTTCCCACAATAGACTTCTCCTCCTTCTGGCTAGGTTTTCCTGAAAGTAGATCATCACGAGATAAGGAGGCAGTGCCAAGAATATTTCTAGTAACCAAACTCCTATTATATTTACATGACCGGATGCATGTACCATTCGGCACATGTTGCAGAGCAAGTTCCTCATCCTCTGAGCCAAAATCAGAACCTGAAATGAGAAAACACACACTCAGCTAATCAGTTTCATTGTCAGAAACAGAAAGGATCTGTCTGGGTACTAGACATGTGAATGTTTAAAAATTTACCAGAATACTCTTCAGTGGAATAGAGAAGACAAGATATAAGAGTTATGGAAGAAACGGATACTAGAAATAAATGAGAATAGAGGTGTAAAAACAAATGTCATCATATTAAATAGCATAACTGACTTCCAAGATAGCTATAATTTCCTTGAAACTAAACGCATAGGCTATGATAGCACAATCTTGAAATCAAATAAGAAATGTGGCTTCTGACTTCAGTTACAACAACCATAAAAAGAAACAACTCAGTATCATTGCTGCAAGGGGAAACAAAATCGCTCAAGCTGGTAAGAAAGGATATTGTTCTTGGTCTTCTGCAGAAGCCTGGTATCCCATACAGTAAATACTTCCACTCTTCCCGTTGTGTGAGAGCTCAAATTCCTTCTCAAACACGAGATCAAATGATAGCTGAGGGAACTTCTCTGCAGAGAGAATTCCCAGAACAAGCTTCTGTTCATCGATCTTCAAAAAAATAGTCACGGATTCCTTCGATTTGTCCTTCTTTAAATCACCGAGAGTAGCCTGCATAAAAAGATTTCATCAAGTTAACTATAATGGGGGATTGATATCAAACAAAGAGGCTCAGTGGCTCAACTGGGCAAAAATTCTAAAATAAAGTCTACAACTACAGCAGCAACAACAGTACCTGTGATAGATGCAGATATTTCTGATCTCCAGGCTTCACAGAGAGTGCCTGACCAGGCTTAACCTCAACACCTAAGAACACAAATCCATCATGAACTTTCAAAAATTCACAAGTATTTGTCAATTAAAATATTACGAGACAACATTATAACATTGAGACATCCATAAAACATCAGTTTATGCATCTGCCTCATACATTACGACAAGTTGTTCATCTGAAAGTTCCAAAATTCAAACTGACACAATAGTATATGTACCCAACCCTTTATACCTCCAGGGCAAACAAGAAAACAGGATAAAGAAGCTTAAAACGAGTAATTCAATAGCTTTCTAAAACTATTATATACTATATAGACGATGAGAGGATAAATGCAGGAGAAAGAAAGACACCCGAGCTATATTATGAGTACGAAACAAAATGCAGAAGTGAAATAATGAAACTGAATAACTCATAGCTTAAGCCAACAAGAACAAAAACCAGGATCACTTACCCCAGAACTCCATTGACAAAGCGGGAAGAAACAGAGTAGGGGTTTAGAAATATGTTGAAGAGGAAGTGAACTATGGCGCAAAGCAAACAGAGAGAAGAAGGAACCCAGAAGCTTTTAAAACACCTTATAAGGGAATTGCCGCCAGGTTTTTGGATGTTTGGGGTTTCAAATAACCGCATAAATTCAATTATCGGTTTGGGCCTAATAATTCAATTAATTGTTTGGGCCGGACGGTTTAAATCCAGTTGATTGTCTGTTTGTCTGGGCCCACTTAAGTATAGACGGTTTAACTTCATTCTTTAATTAAATAATATATAATTTAATATCAATTTGAATAATATCGTAATTATGACGAATACGTTATTTAATCGTTGAATAATTTTGACCCAAAAAAATAAAATCTTATTTTATCAAGCAAAATAATATATTTGATTATTGTGACAATTATAAAATTAAAATAGATTGAAAAAGGTCGTCTAAATTTTTATTCTTGCTTGAATATAATCGAGATCAAAAAAAATAATAAAAAGATTGAAAAGGGTGGTTCAAAAAATAATAAATTGTAAGGTATATATTTCATTTTATTTATAAATATCTTATTTCATTTCAAATCCAATCCAATTAATTTTTTCAATGTTAGGTATGGATTTATTGATCAAATGGTTAACTCAATTATTGTTTCTTTCCAAAAGTTAAATTTGATTTTTCTTCTTCTTTTTAATGAGGGATGAAATTTGATGTTAGAAAAAAAAAAACATATAAAAAAAAATTACATGACGTCAATTAAAAATTTAAAATAAAAAGTAAAAAATGTTTAAATTTTATATTCAAGAGCCTTCACTTGTACATTTATTAAAAAGATAAGCAAATATAATATTATATGGTATTATCTTAGATCTAAAAATTGGATTTTAAAATTTATTTTCAAGTATTGTGATCCATTATTTAGAATTATTGGCCAATTATTCACGTATCATTAACTTATTAAATAATCGATTTAATTGCAATATAAAAACATATCAAAATTCAATTAATAGATTTAGTTTTTATTTTCTTAAAGTCATGGCTACAATTATTCATTTTTAAGAGTGGATGAAAATTAAAATGAAATAAATAAAAAAATAATTAAAAACAAAATAGCTCACAAAGAATGATGCACGTGGAGGTGCTGTTTATGATAAGATTGAAAACAACATTCAAATTGAATGGTTCCAATAAATAACATAATAAAAAAATTATATTTGAAAAATTTGGGATCCATACAAATAGATATTAAACAAAAACAAATAAGCATTAGTTATATAACTTATAAAATACGGAAGGATATTTGTAACTGAAAATATAAACATTATTTACTAAATAACAATAGATCCGTTGATTTGATTTTTTTATTAGTTATATAATGGTAGTTTATTTAAAATAAATCAACAAATGGTTATAATAAACTAGATAAATTAAATGTAAATACTTTATAATTCAGTAATTAAAAATAATATAATCAAAATCGAGTGTAATATTTATTTATTTAAAAAAGAATTAAATGCATAAATGGATTTATAGGATAAAAATGAAATAATATAGTAAATGATGGGGGAATATCTGAAGAGTCCGTATGAACATTGAACTTGCAGGGAAACGTCTCTTTCAGCTATTTCAAGTAGACCATGTTTTGCCCTTTCATCACCAATTTCTTTCACGAAGCATCCAAAACTCACACGGAATATCGGGATTTTTCCTGCTGCGACTCTGTTCCGTGATATGGAAGTTTCAGAATCTGAGAAAATGATTTGTGAAAAGGCTGAACATCTCAGGCCACACAATTGAATTCAGCACAATTTTCACTGGAAAATTTTAGTTTCCAGCTCTAAATTAAGCTAGCGGATCTCTGAAATCTATATTCTGTACATATTGAATACTGATAAATTTCCGTGTCGATCCTGAGAAAGCAAGCGAAGAACAGAATTGTAGAAATATTCCCTCTCTGTTGCTCGATCGAATTCTGATATTAATCGCACCAAGCAATTGCAGATTGCTTAATAACTTTTACGAAGTGGAGATGATTCGAGGATTACTTATATGGCGTAGAGAATTTGAAGACTATTTTTCACAGAGGCGGATTGAAGGTATGAAGGAAATCGATTCGATTTATGGCGGTAACTAAATCCGGAATTCGATGAATTTGAACCAACTGAAACTGCTGGAACTCTTCGCGTTTTCTTTGGCCTGTGTCGAGCAGGACGACGACGATGAAGAAGCTACTAAATCGTCGTTATCCTCCGATTTTCTAGGGCACAGAAAGAAGTTTCTAGATCCCAAGGCGATTAGCTTCTCATCCTCATTCAAACCTGAGATTCAGATCATTACCTCGTTAGAATCGCCCGCGAAATTCATATTAGATTAAAAAATCAATCAAAATCAAATGCGGTTGCGAGGTTTATGATCGATTCCTTACTTTCTAAGCTGAATTGTGAATAATGGAGGTCAAAGGCGGAGGGATCTGCAGTCGGCAGAATTGGTCGGCGGGCTTCCTTCAAGTATTGGCGTACGGTCGCAGCCACAAGATCGGCGACGGTCATATCCGGCGACATCAACACTTGTACTGGACCTAGACTGCCCTGAATCGTCACGTTGAAAAGTAACTTCGTCATCTTCGGCCGTCCATCCAGCGACGGCGCCGATAAACCTAGTTTCTTGAACGACAATAACTCCGGATCCGTTTTCGGCCGCCGAAGCGTCGCCGCAGTCTTCGTCGGTCTCTCGCCGTGGAACGACGACGACTTCTCTGTAAGTTTCCCCTTCCGGTACGACTTAGGGTTCGGCATCTTCAACTCGAAAAGAAAATGAGGAACTCTTCTTGTTACCTCAGTTTCCGGAAGCGGAAATCGAGAGCTTCGGAGGAGCTACCCTCTGAAATTTCCCGTCCCCGGGCAGCGGCTGTTGGACCCAGCTTTACGGCGGCGATAGTCGTGGTAGAGAATTGAAAGAAAGTAGAAACGTTCTGTGATGAGATGATTAAGTGAAGCGCATTGGGTATTTATAGTAAGCGAAAATCGATGACCTGGAGGAAACCAGTAGGAATATTCTCGTAAACATACGGGCTATAGCCGGTTCCTCGAGTAAGTTGGACTATTTTGGGATTCAACATTGGGCGGCTTGGCCTCTCCAATTACTAATCGGATATGGACAACCGGCTATTGCCCGTAGACTATTGGCTAGACTCGCCTCCTCAGTTACTTTCTTCATTTTTTTCCATTTAAGTAAAAAAAAATAAAAAATAAAAACATTTTACTACTTCGAGCAAAACTTACGTGCAGCTGCAGCACGTGAAGAAACTGTGCGAAATCGTGTAACACGTGGCTCCACGAGATTGTGCCAAGTGGCCGCTATTTCCAATAAATTAGAAACGTGAATTATTTGCAAATGGTGCTTTGATATAATAATCACTTAAATTTATTTTTAAAAAATAAAAAATTAGAATTATTGAAATTATGAGTTTATAAATATGAAAATAATTATGTTAATTGGTAGGACATAATTTTGGTGAAATCAAATATAAAGTCACACGAATTTATATATATCATTGTTGTAGTTGTGCCTTTGACTTAGTCAACTTTTCTCTTCCTCACTCTCGAGCAAATTTTGGTCATCCTTGAGCACACCGAAGACTAGTATGTTGGGATATGAAGCCGATACCTAAATCTGGTAGAGATATAATTGGGAGATATTTCGTAAAGATATGGTAGAGATATATTTAGAAGATATTTAGTAAACATCTAATATGATAGAGATATATACGGTAGATATTTGATAAATATTTGATAGAGATATATTTATTAGATTATGTTTGTAGGTTTAAATCTTTGGAAGCTATATTTAGTAAATTGAAACCATATATATATACCGGCAGTGTTCAAAATGTACTCTCGTTTGGAGTTATCAATTATAAAACATTTAGCCAATATTCCTCATTGTATTATTTCTCTCGTGTTCTTTGTATTTATTTTAATTAAATGTGTGGTTTGTTGAGCGATCCTAACAATTGGTATAAGAGCTAACAACTGGTATTGATCATAATAAAGCAATCTATACCTAACTAGGTGTTAAGAGCTGTTCAGCCAATATAAAACAGTAATGAGTTTCTCGAAGTCAATGCAAGTGCATACTATCTTTCAAACATCATATTTCCAAACTCAGCGTCGTTAAACAATAATTTAGTTTTAAAGAAAAAAAATTCACGTCAATGTATGATCTTTCTTTACTTTAACATTCACGAGCATGTCTTGAAAAGTATTATGAGAGGAAGTATGATGTCAGCTTCTCACCGTTAATAAATTTAGATGCTTAAGTGAGCTATCACGTAACACATACGTAGATCATCGACCGAACGGATAAACTGGTTCAAGTGGCTTCTTGAAATGATTGTAACCTGAAAGACAATGTTAGGTGACACAATAAATGTTCATAAAGTGGATTGATCAGAAATTGCAAGTTGGGACTGTAAATTTAAGGAACAATAGGGGACCTCTTGAAGTAGCCAAAAACAGACCACGTGTTTGTCACGTGCTTCGCCGTTCCCTTATGGTTGAAGAGCGTGCAAATAAATAATTGCGAAGATACAGACATTGAACCAATTATTATTTTTAGATAAAATTAAAATCATCAATACGCAATGTTTTTTATTTATTTTTTATTAATTAATTACTCATACTCAATGTGTTCTTTAAGAATATATATGTAAAATATTTATATGTTAGTGAAGAACCATTTAGTTTTTATTTTTAAATTAAATTTACAAATAATACTTTATTATTTTTCTTGCTTTGTTATTATTTATTTATTTATAATTTAAAATACAAGTCTAGTTTTAAAAATTAAAAATTAGTTTTGTTTTTTATTTTTTAAAATATAATTATTTCCTTGAAAAAGTTGAAAACTATTTAAAAATATAAAGTTAATTTTAAAAAACTAAAAGATCAATAATTATCAAACAAATATTAATTAGGTTAGGTAGCAATTGTTAGGCATAAGAAAATAGAAAAAAGAAGCTCCAATAACATTTGTACTAAAAAAAAATTAAATAATAAATTATTTTTGGTAGAATTATATGAGTTTATTTTATTTATTTATATATTTATTTTGTGTTGTGGGTTTGTCTGGGGAAGGCATAACATTATGTGGACCAACAAATGGCATGTTTAAGTGAGTACTGCCAGCCTCTCGAGTTGAGCATTTATGTTTGCAAGACATGATGAACAGTCAACAATTGTCTCCAGGAATATTGGATTAGCAGTCCATTTTTGACCCACCCAACAAGAAGCCTCCTGGTTTGAATGTTGAGACATTTAGCGATCACTTGTCACTTAGCTACGTTAGGTAAACAAATTTTGGCTGTGATACCGCTGATTTTAGTCTCAAGAGGTAGGAAACAGTCCATGTTGCTCTTCTTCTTTGATATCGTGTTTGTGAGATTCTACATCGGTTGAAAAGAAGAACGAAACATTCTTTACAAAACCTGAAAGAAAAAGTCCAAAGAAGACAATATCTGCTAGCAATGAGAGAAAATCCGAAAGAAAAAGCCCAAACAGGATAATATAGCTTACGCCGTTAAAGTGTTAAATTCACGTGCGGGAGAATCCATCCTGATTAGTAACAGAGAGAAACAAGTTAATCTTAAAAGCGGCCTGAAACCCATTTCATCGCTATGTGATGTACGTTTAAAGAAATACAACTAATCCAATGTAGTTCTTGCAAAATTTATCTCTGAAATCAAGTAAAGAAAAAGTTAAACAAAAGCCTATCTTTTGGTAGTATCTATATATGATTCCAACTCATCTAATGGTGTGTGCCAAGACAGTATGCTGTGTTTAATCCCTCCTGTTTCGGAGAACTGACCGTTACACATCGGAAACTCGTTGGGATTTAACGAAACTAAGTGGTGGCATGAATGAATTTCAGGTCTTGAACGCAGCTGCAGCTGCAGCTGCAATTTCATTTGAATTGGGTGGATTCTGGATTTGTTCTGCAATTTTGATGGTACAATGGCCTTCAAGCTTCCCCTTGAGCTTGGCATCCTTGGAAAACAGACTGAATGAAAAGATTCCGAGCAATAGTGGCGGTCATCACGTGAGGACGGCGGTGGCGCCTTTAACGTCGATCTACCCTTGGTCCAGGGCAAAATGGATTGAATCAGTCTGGATGGTACCTGCAAAACAAGGTTGAAGGAAAACGGCCATGATTTAAGAGACCATCCCTAGAAAAAACAGAGGAAAAAGTAACGGTTAGGAGTCACGACTCTCCACAATGGTATGATATTGTCCACTTTGAGCATAAACTCTTATGGTTTTGCTTTGGGCTTCCCAAAAAGGCCTCATACCAATAGAGATGTATTCCTTACTTATAAACTCATAATTATTCCCTAAATTAGCTAACGTGAGACTCCCTCCCCCGACAGTAACTCACCCCAGAAACAAGAGTACTAGAAGCAAAATGCAGTGAAGCTGTAGAAAAGGGTGAATCTCGTGGCTTGCTTGGCTTCTGATCAGCTGAAACAGAGCCAAAACTGGAAGGTGGCGCATCAAAACTGGACGGTGGAGAATCATCCACGTCATTGTCATCGTCGTCTTCATCGTCTTCACCTTCCTCTTCGACCGAAGCCTTTTTATCTTGGTTGGTTGATTCCTCTTTCTCTTTCGTTTTCAGCATCTCATCCATATCCTCTATGGCCTCTTCCAAACAAATTTCAGCTTCTATCAGTTCGAGTTCCTTTTCAATTAGTTGCTTCTTCAACTCACTCTCTTTCTTTTTCTCTTCAGCCCATTTTCCAAATTTTTCGAGCTTCGGTTTCAATCCATTTTCCAGGGTGGATATTAGCCGCATCAAAATGTTTTCCTTCTTTTCAGGTGTCTTTGTCCCATAAAACTCATCAAAGCCAAGTGGTAAGAACTCGACCTTCTCCGGGTCTACATCTTCCTCTTCTTCCACCTGTGGCTGCCAAAACATGCGAACCCCATGCTCCTCATCCTCAACATAATTGATTAACCGTCCTGTTGGTGTGTGTAGGATGAGAGGATCTTCAGTATATACAAGCTTTGATGGATCTTCAGGATCAGGCTCTGGTTCCTTGTTGACGAGAACGAACTCGGGAGTATGATCTGCAAAGTAAATGTAGCTTAACGAACCAGCATACAAGCAAATTTTGCAGAACAGTTTTAGAAACAGAGACATAAAGCTTTTCTTACAATCAGTCTTTCACTTTCTGCGACAATTTTCAAGCATTATTTTCCTTCACGCATCATGAACAGAGGAGAAACTAACAACCAAATAGACCATTTCAAAATTCCAGTTGCATGCTAAAGGGTAATTTCAGTTCTCCCATTTTCTAGTCCATTAAAAGCGTTCAAGTTTTCCATATAGTCTCGATACTCGACCCAGCAAATAGCCTCTATCGACGTTAAAACTTCCGAGTGCTAATGTAAGTAACATATATAATTGATTATGTATGCACTTTACCGTCATGCACGGCCAACTGAGTTAACATTGGAAAGATGCAGACTAATCATTGAAGAGTTCTATTTGAAAGTAAGGGTGGGGGAGCTTGTCATCTTTAGCTATCAGGCCATACCTTGTGCCCACCAGTATTCAAGTTCTGCAGGCATTGGTAATCTCAGCGGAGCTTTATAAAAGGAATTTAACCACATTTCTCTCTCCTCATCTACCTCGTGCACGTACGTTTTCCAGTAGTCAGGTACCTGGAGACATATCCATACATGTATCACTTAATAGTTTCACCGTGATGCAGAGTATAGCAGAATATAAATGAAGAGTCGACATACTTCGTAAAACTGATTGATGAAACCTGGCGCCATCCATGTATCTTCTTCCTCATAGAAATAGGGATGCTGAGGATCACCATATGGACCTCTCTCTTCTCTAATCACTGAGCAGATAAGGTAAAACCAAAGCCATGAATGAAAGAAACGTCATGTAATTATAATGGAGTGAATATTTTTCAAACCACTAATCATTAAAAACGCTAAGTGATCTCTGTCTATTACTAAATGCCTTGGTTACTATTTGTATTTACAGGGGTTTTAGTTAATGCGATGCAAGTTTTGGACCGACCTAATCCACGAGGAAGATAAAACAGTAGAGTTATTAACTGATGTGCCAAATTCTAACCCAGAAAGCAATTGCCAGGATCATATGGTACATTATTAACCCTAATGACTCCCTTCTAAGTACATTATTAACAATGTAAGTGGCATACTTCCATCAGGTTTGTTGACAAACATTCGGGCCTTTGCTGCAGCAACTTCTGCTAAGCTTGCATGAAGCTGGAAAACAATGGCGTAAGAAAGCTATCATTCTGAGGTAAACATTAAGAAATAGCAATATTATACCGCTGAAGTGTCCTCATCACATCCAGTAGAATCATACAACAGCTCCCCAAAATAGAACCTGCCCTGCTCACTCAGATTATACACTCAAATTCATTTAGTACATTTGATGTCCAAAAATGAAATCAAAATTTTAAATTAGAACAAAAAAAATGGGGTTAACCTACCCATATTGGACGTTCGTTAACTTCATACACTCCACATCCATGCATCCTGCCGTGCTTCCATTCACCAGCATAGCGGTACCGACCTTTCTCCCTAGCATGTGATGAATCACATCATCAAAGGTAAATCAACTCATTTCCTTATCCAAAAGAAAGATTAGGTTACTTTATTAATCTATATCTATCTTATGGGATAGCATTCTAAAAGTAAGAATGCTTATGAATCCACCAGATTATCGAAAAAGGGAAAAGGGAAACGAAGTTATAGTGGCGATGTTTGGTTTAAATCATGCAGTTTAAGTTTATTTGATGAAAGAACTAAGAATTTACGGTTTCCCTCCAAAATATTTGATCCATTCCTTTCTCTCGTAAAAAGGAATTTCATAATTTCCTCCAGCCAGATGGATACTATCTTCAATATCCATTTCCAGCCAATTTTTGTCTTCTGGAGTCATATAATCTCTCGAGATTATTTTTCCTTCCGCACGCATCTTTTTCTCAAGCCTGGAAAACGTGCAGAGAATAATTTAGTTCACATACTTCAAAGAGATTCTGCTTCCTTTCCATGTTAACATGTTAACAAAAAATCAAAATCACGAAACTTACTTGGAACCAGGCACAGGTTCTATGTCAGGAATATCAACCTCAACCACCCCATGACCCTCCATATTGTTCCGAACCCATTCACCTTCATACCTACAAAGGCAGAGATACTTCAAGAATTAGTTAATAAACAATAAATCTAACACACGTTTGCACCGACCAGTGAAAAATAAAATAATAGTCATTAGGACATCATTAATATACTAATAATTTTTACTGAACAAATTTCTTGACACAAAAGTAAATAAATATGAGATTAAAAAACAAAAATACATGATAAACATTGTTCTTGAGATGCTACAAAAAATAATAACATCGTTTCCACACTCTCTTCCAGCAACAAGACTGGTTAAATCATTAGCAGCAATGATCTTTTCAATTGTACAGATTATTGATATAACCGACATAAAATTCAGTACATCTTCCCCAAATTCTTCATATTTGTCCATTTTTAAAACAATGAAGCATTTTCTCATTAGCTAGTTTAAGAGGGGCAACTTGCAAAACCATTGAAGTCTTGTACTGACATAAAAGATAAGATAATGAACAGACAGACCTGACCAGCCCCAGTTCAGCAACGTAAACACCTTTACCATGAGCCAAATCATCCCAAACAGTTCCTTCATACCTTGATCAAGAAAAAGCAAAAATTTAAGCCACGGATATTCAAACGCATCAGAGCACAAGAAACAGAGTGTTAATCATACATCAATTGCAAGGAAGAAGCGTCATAGAGAGGTTCAGCTGTTCATGAACGAGCAAAAGATTTATGAACTATTAGTACATAGATTCTTCCAGCAAATGCCTGAGTACTTAAAGAGCTAGCTCGCATAAAAATTCATGTGAGGTAGCCAAGATTACAGCCAAATGCGATAGAACCATACAAAGAACTTATTGGACTTCTAATTTGAAACTAACTAGGTGAATGCAGATTTTCAAATCCATATCCAACAGTTATTAGGAGTCAGCCATCATTCAATAATTTTACCAAAGGGGAGTTCTAAGAGGAAAATTCAGGGGATATAGAAAACATACGAGCTTCCATCAGGAAAAATGTAGCCGACCCATTTGAGAAATTCCTCAATTCTATCCAATTCTTCAATCACTGATTTTGCATTTGGTATATCAAAATGGTTATCTGGAATTACAGGGTATGGCTTCCGATAAGGGACGTAGAATGGCGCTATCGGAGGATCTTTCCCAGCCTCAACCTCGTCCCTCATTACCTCCCAATCCTTCTCGTCAGCCCAAATTGGGTCCCAACCAGGCTTTTCCATTTCCAATGGAGCATCCATCCAAAGCTCCTGCAGGTCCTCCTCAGTCCAATTCTCAGGGTCTTTGGGAAAATCATAGAGGTCTTCATGATACACAACGGTCTCTTCCTCCTCTTCTTGCATCTTCTTCACGAGCTTTCCGCCGAGGGCTTGACTAAGCCGTCTAACGTTCGTTTCCTCATTGTTGTCCGTCTCCGTCAGCTCCTCTGTCCGTCGAGTATAAATGAGTGGTTCTTCCTCTTCGTATTCACCTTCCGATGCGTCGTCGGAGTCATATTCGGATTCTGAACTATCCGACGAACTCAGGTCACTTTGCTTTTCTTCTCTTTCCTCCTTCTGTTGAGAGGCCACGGTTTCACTTGAGTCGCCATCGGCCATTGTAGTTGCTGAGGAAAAGAAAGAGATGCAGAATTTGTTGGAGGAAGAAGGAAAGAGATAAGGTGGGAACTCAGAACTTAGCGCAGCTGCGCTGGTTACAAAGTTGAACTGTAGTAATCACTATTCTGGTCCTAGTTCCGACTCCATATGGGTTGGGCTAGGCTTTAATAACTATTATGGGCCTAATTCCGACTGGTTGGGCTGGGCTGTAGTATCACTGCTTAGTTCCTACTTGGGCTGGGCTTTAATCAATATTATGGGCCTAATTCCGGCTCGATATGGGGCTGAGCTGTAGTATCACGGCCTATTTCCAACTTGGGCTGAGCTTTAATCAATATTATGGGCCTAATTCCGACTCGATATGGGGCTGGGCTGTAGTATCACGGCCTATTTCCGACTTGGGCTGAGCTTTAATCACTAGGCCTAATTCCGACCCAATATGGGTTGGCTTATTCCGACTTGGGCTGGGCTTTTATTAATTAGTGGTTTATTTAGTTAGTTTATAGTAAAATAATTAATTAATTATATGTACTAAAAATTAGCTTAATTTTTAAAATTAAAATTTATTTATTTTCAAATAAATTTTATTATTATATTACTTACTATATTATATTTTTAAGTTAATAAAAAATTTCAAGAGTATTTACCTCCATAATATCCCACCATCTTAAATTATAATAATAATAATAATAATAAAATTTAATTCTATAATTAAAAAAAAAAAACAATTCATTCCATACATCTTATTTCACTCTAACTCTAACTTAGTTAAGAAAATTATTTTAAAATTTCTAAATTAATTAAAAATATATTTTCTAGTTCTAAATTTATATTAAATTCTAAAAAATATGACATCTTTTTTTTATAATTAAACTTTAATCATTTTATCATAATTTTATTTTATATTTAGATTATATTTTTTTCCTTTATTTTAAATTTATTATATATTAGGTGGATGCAAGTTTAGCTCCGTCCCGCCAACAATTAAATAGAAAATAATAAAAATAGGCTCTGTCATTGATATTGAAATTTACTACGTCTATCAATCAAAACATATACTTAAATTAATTCGAATCTAATATAATAATTAGGAACATATCCCCTAATAAATATTATATATGTGTATGGTTTAAATATTTTATATATATTTTTTTATACAGGTATAAAATTATGGTCCATAAATATTATATATGTGTATGGTTTAAATATTTTATATATATTTTTTTATACGGGTATAAAATTATGGAACCAAATTTAAATTTTGTTAGAGGATAAAGTTGCACCTGTTCATTTAGGGAATGATTTAAACTCGATAATATCATGATATTGTGATTCGGTATCACAATCATGCACTAAACATAGTCATGACAATATTTTATTGGTAAATGAACCAACCAAGGTCGAATTGACAATATGGTAAATGAACAAACTCGTTGGAATCATGGTGTAATCAAAGGATTTTCTTCTAACCTATAATTTTACTATATTTGGAAGATTTTGATAGCAGACTAAATCTTTTAAATCAGAATATTTGAATATATTTAAACTGATATTTTGGTGGGGATTCATACACTTTCAATGGCTGAAATATCCTTTCCAAATATCATTTCCAGAAATGGGGAAGACGAAAATGGATGGGAAATGGAACCAACCATTTCAACTCCAATGGCTGAAATATCATTTACATACAGAAATTCTGATACACACGAAAATGGATTGAAGATGGAACCAACCATTTCAACTGAAGTATCATTTCCATCCAGAAATGGGAAACAATTGGAAATGGAACCAACCATTTCAACTCCATTGACGCCGAACACTAAGAGAAAGAGACCACAGATGGAAACACGCAGAAAAAAGAAAAAGAAGAAAATGTACCGGCCAAAAGTGATCGGAGAAGGCAGAGCAAGGAAGAGATCAACCCAACCAGTAAAGCCAAAGCCGCCGAGAGTGAAGCCAAAGCCAAAGCCTAGACCAAAAACCAAAAAAATTGTTACTACTGTTAGAGGATGTCAGCAGAACAGTTATTCTGTACAAGAAAATGATCAAGTTCATATTATAGATAGTTGCATAGATCTGGTAAATGAGAAAGCTTTACTCAATAAAGTTACGGTTAGTTGCAAAGATCTAGTCTTAATTGGAAATGAACTGAACAATGAGAAAGCTTCACCCACTTTTACTGTGAGTGAGAAAGCTTCAGCAGAAGTTGCTAGCCTTGATGAAAAGGAATCCGCGGACGATCATTCAAAGAGTACAGTTATCCAAACCAAAGTTGGGTCGACCGGGAGGCTTTATGAATGGCTCCATGGAATACCACAGAAATGCAGGAGAAAAAGGAGTTCAAGAAGGCCAGCAAAAATCACTAAGAGAGCACCGTATGGATTGAGGTTTGGAAATAAAAAAGGCGAGGGATCAAGAAACAATCTACAGCCATTCATCTACTGCAAGAGAAAAAGGAGTCCAATGGTTAGAAGGTGCAACGTAGCTTCAGCACTTGAAGTCTGTAAACTGTTGCGGAGAAACACACATAAACATGCCTCCAACACAAAAAAAGCAATAAAAAACAATGGCAGAGGTATTCTATTCTAATGCGCTACGTTAATAATGCACTTATGAATTTGAACGTCCTAATGAAATTTTATGATATTCCAGATGATGATGATGATGATGAGACCACAAAACAGAAACTGGAAATTGAAGGAACACCAACAGAAGTATCAGATCAAACAACTGAAATGTATAATCATTCAGATGATGGCTGTCAATCTCATTCTGCATTAAGTTCTAAAGACAGAGAAGCATCTGAGGAAACAGCCATAGCAGAGGGTAATTTCTTTTCGCTTTACCATGAGAAAACATATATTACCATTGGCCTCCTGGGTCTTGAATGCAACAAGTTTGTGGCTTTTTCAGATTGGTCGGGTCAAACAATGCTCCCTGCAGTAACTTTCAAGTTTGCAGCTATCTTTAGGGAGGGGACTTTCTGGAAGATTAGCAATGCAATTCGTATTGAAACATTAAGTAGGACAATTAAGCTATGTTCATGTTAGCAACTTCATTTCAGCAGTGGTATTTAATTTATCTTTAAGAACGATTAATAGGTAAATGCTGACAGCATTTCCTTGCAGGTCACAATGGTAAGCAAACAATGAGATGGCTTGATATCAGACAGTTTTTGACTAATTTGAAGCCTATAAATGAAAAGAACCCATCAGGGACAGGCATTTCACTTCCTAGAATTATTACAGGTACTTCACTATTGCTACGGGAAAAACTACTCTTCTTATCCCATAAGTAGCTTACCGTTATTTTGCTATTATGAGGCACTAATGAATAAAGAACTAAAAGAAATGCCTTGATTTAAGACTTCTTTCCAGTTTTCAGCCCAATATGCAAATAAATTGAAGGCAAAATGTTACTGAGTTTTCAGGTTTTCATGATGTGGGCAGCGGAAGAAGCTTGATCAGGCAACAGGACTTCACCCACCCAGGAAGTGTAAATGAAATGAGACCTGCCCTCAATGTAATATTATGGAATAGAAGTGAAGGAACAAAAAATAATCATGAGCATATCAGGCTTACACTTGAAACAAGAGGTATCTTTTTTTTTCTTTTCTGCATAATGTTTGCATACAGTACTGTTAGGTTTGTTTCTGATTATAAAAGGCACTAATCCAGTTATCGAACAGCAAATAATAAAGCAAACAAATTCTTGCAGTAAGAAGGTTTTTGTTCCCTATCCTGCAGACAGTCATTACAACAAATCACAGTTCGGAAATATTCTCATTTATGCAGGCATTAGTAACAGCAGTGGTCTAACGCACGTTAATTCACAACAGAAAGAAGGAACTGCTTCGGGCCATGAAAAGAAAATTGTTCCATATGCACGAAAACAAGGAAAGAAAACCAGCAAGGGAGAGCACAATCTAAGTTATGTTAATGGCATGGAAGGCGCAATAGTTCCCCATCCTGAATCATTGAACTCAACTAAGAAAAAATTGTTGGGTAAAGTGAACCTTGACCCAAGAGACATTACTATGTGGACACTAATAACCCAAGAAGCGAGTGATTGTGGCTCAGAAAAAGTTGACGTCAATACCGAAAAGTGGTGGGCACATGAAAGGGAAATTTTCCGTGTACGGATAGATGCTTTTAATGCTAGAATGCATCTAATTTTAGGTAAAGCTTATTACATGTAACTGTCTGATATGTAGTATATCCGTTATCAATGAAGCAGAACTGTGATAAAACTAACTTACAAAAAGGTAAAATAAGTTAGTGTGTTTGTCATACATTGCGAGCTGCAATAAATGCTCAAAATCTTTGTATAAAAGCAGAACTTTTTTGATGTGCAGGCGATCGGCGTTTTTCACCATGGAAAGGTTCGGTGGTGGATTCTGTGGTTGGCGTTTTTCTTACTCAAAATGTCTCTGACCATCTTTCAAGGTATAGAAACATAACCGTTTCCTGTAGATGATTCTAGCACTAGTGAAATATACCAAATGAAGCTTATATCCTTTACTTCTCTTGTTCTTCACAGTTCTGCTTATATGTCACTTGCTGCAACATTCCCCCTCTGTGCAACAAGAAACCATACAGAATATTATCAGGGCCAGGACGTTTTCTGCACTCAACAATCAACTCAAAGAAACAAAGGATATTTTCTGTATGAAAGCGAATGGAACAATGACAGTATGTTGGAGAGTAACAAGAAAACAGGAGATCGTGAAGAAGTTGAACAATTAATATCTGCGAATGATGCAATTTTGTCTCAAGATTTTATGGGATCATCGGTAAAACAAAGCCTTGATGATACCCTTCACTCATCTACATGTTTCGAAGATGATTGTGGAATAGGTTTGTTTACGAATTTGGATGGCACAGATAACATGGATGGCACAGATAACACAGTGCTCCATCCTAATAAATCAACCTCTGTCCAAGAGCCCTATAGCAGCAGTCCAACTAGCACATCATCGCATAAAAGCAATCAAGAAAATGAAATTTTAGAATCCAAAGAGGTGGAAGTTGATTTACGAGTCACGCCAAATGAGAAATCTCAGAGTTCTGCCAGCGCTGAAAAGTTTCAAAATCAAGAGATTCAACTCACTGGTGATGTCAATGATTTGGAAGACAGAGATTCTAATGATTTTAGTGATGAAAAAATGACAGATATTTCTAAGGGGACAGCCAAAAAGAGTAAAATGAAGCCAGAAATGGATTGGAATAGTCTAAAGGAAAAATGGGACAGTATGAGGAGAACCTATTCTGTTCATGAGCCAAGAAGTAGGGATCACATGGATTCTGTGGACTGGGAAGAAGTTGGGTCAGCAGACCCTATTAAGATTGCAGCTGCCATCAAGGAACGTGGCCAACATAACACCATAGCAAGAAGAATTAAGGTTTCAGAAACTAAAGTGAAATAAAAAAAATAAAAAGGGTGTTCTAAGGTAATAATGCAAATAAACAAAAGGCTTGGGGCTAAGGTCTCTGACTTTCCACATCGTTTCTTTTTCCTACAGGAGTTTATTAATCGAACAGCTAGAATGCATGGCCACATCGACCTCGAATGGCTTAGATATGCTCCTCCAAATGATGTTAAGTAAGTTTACTTTGAAGGCTGAAACTCTTAACATTCCAAGAACAAAAGAACTTTGATTTTTTAAATGTCACATTTAGATATATTACTTGTGCGTGCCTGCAGGGCATATCTATTGGAGATACATGGGCTAGGATTGAAAAGTGTAGAATGCGTAAGGCTTTTATCACTTCAGCAAGTTGCCTTTCCAGTAAGATACATATGAATTTATGATTTGTTAGATATGTATTCCATGCATAACTCCTATTTTTCTTTGAATGAGGTGGACGTAAATGTTGGTCGAATCGCAGTTCGAATAGGATGGGTTCCTCTTGAACCGCTGCCTGAGGAGGTTCAGATTCATCTTCTAGAGACGTAAGTATAGAATATAAAGAATAAGCATCGTTCATATGACCAATAGAGAGACGTTAACATGTTTTCTGTGTAGGTTCCCTATGATGGATTCTATTCAGAAATATCTATGGCCAAGGCTCAGTTCACTTGACCAACGAACTCTGTAATTCTCTATTACTTATCATTTTAAAAATAAATATGTACTTTATAACGTCTACCAAACAAGCCAAAGTTCACACTTCAAGCTTTTTACTATAGGTATGAACTACACTATCAACTGATAACATTTGGAAAGGTAAACCTTATGATCCTAGCAAGCGTAAATGGCCAGAGCATCACTTGATTCTGTATAAAACATTTCAAGTGAAGTATTTGATTATTTACCTTGAACACTCATCTGCAGGTCTTTTGCACGAAGAGAAAACCAAACTGCAATGCTTGTCCGCTGAGGGCCGAATGTCGGCACTACGCTAGCAAATATGCAAGGTATGGACAAATTAGTGCATGGATTTTCAATTCAGAAATAAAAGCAGATTTTATACGGAGTTATGTATAAAACAAATTTGGAAGGATTGAAAACTCATTTTTGTTGCTTCCAACAAGCGCAATCAGAAATTATAACAGATCTGACCTTGCATTGTCCTATGAAGAGGTTGATTTTGTGGCAGAACACTTCAAATGAAAGCCAAGTGTTGTGAGGATGTGTGCAAATTATAGAGATTTATAGGTTCTATAATTGTATTCTCTTCTGAGGTCCTATAATCAAAACAGTGCAAGGCTCGCATTACCTGGATTGCCAGAGAAAAGAATGGTAAGTACAATGATCCCGGAAAAAAGGTATGAAGGCACTGCTCAAGTGATGAATCCAGCACCAGTACTCCATGTCGAAGGCAATCCATCTTCAGAATCGAGATATGAAACCATCAATTGTGAACCTATCATCGAAGTGCCTCGATCACCTGAACATGCATATGATGAATCACAGTCGACAGACATTGAAGATTTATATGAGTATGATTCTGATGATGTTCCAGTAATCAGACTTGACTCCGGACAATTTACAACTTCACAGAACTGCATGGACAATAGCATCACTGGAGCTTTGATTCCTTTGAACGACAGAGTTGCTTCCATCCCAATGCGCAAACTGAAGCATGTAGATCGTCTAAGGACAGAACATCAAGTGTAAGTATGGCCGTTAGGCATCGAGTTTCAGCTATTATGGAAACGAGTATTCTCTAAAAGACATATTAGAAAAGAAACTAATTGCAACTGACATGATGCAGCTATGAACTTCCAGATACACATCCTCTCCTATATGAGGTAAAAACATTTCCCAGTAACCTGGCAGGAAAATCAATCATTTATAGTCGTGTAAAGGTTCGTTTCTATCTGTCTGTCTACAGCTAGAACCACGAGAGATAAATGATGCTTGCCCGTACCTTTTGTGCATATGGTCACCAGGTACTGCTTCGAAAATTCTGTAAACGTTCAAATCTCAATAAACCAATATAATGATCAGAAACATCCAGTGCTCAATTTATAATTGATGTTTTCAGGTGAAACTGTAGATTCATCTGAGCCACCCAATACAAAATGCACGTACCAGGGAACGGGAGAGCTTTGCAGTGAAGGATCATGTTCATCCTGCAACATTCTCAGGAAACAAAACAGTGGAACAGTTCACGGAACGATTTTGGTAAGTAATAAAGCAAACTTCCAAGATGTTATTAATTGACTACTTCGTAAATCCGCCAATATATGAACCAATATTGTTCCAGATACCCTGTAGAACAGCCATGAGAGGCAAATTTCCATTAAACGGGACATATTTTCAAGTCAACGAGGTTAGTCAAAATCTTAACGTTGGAATTCTTCCATGAGCCACAGCATTTCTATGAATCATACGCAATTCGAATGCAGGTTTTTGCCGATGACGAATCAAGTAAAAACCCCATTAGCGTTTTTAGGGAATGGATATGGGATCTCCCGCGAAGAATTGTGTATTTCGGAACCTCAACGGCAACAATTTTCAGAGGTAAATTAACATATAACAGAGCAGCTATAGCTATTCCAGTTGAAAATAATCTAACATTCCTTATTTACAGGCTTGGGAATTGATGATATCCAGTACTGCTTCCAAAAAGGTATGAACAAAAAACTTACATTCATCGCCATATCCACTCCTGGAATCACTGAATCTGAAACATTTATCGAACTTAGCTCATTGTGTTTTTCTTTACCAGATTTAGCAGATGAGTTTTGTCGTTTGTGTCGTTTTGTAGGATTCATTTGTGTGAGAGGATTCGATCGAAGAACACGAACTCCAAAACGACTAACGGAGCGGTTGCACAGACAAACCAACGCAGCCGCTAAAGCTAGGGCAAACAAAAACACTGATCAGAAACCTTGAGTGACATTTTTTTCTTCCTTTTCTTTTCATAAATTCTTCAATTAATTTTTTTTAAATTTAGATTTAATGTTATGGCAAATAATGAACGAGACGGTAGCCGGGGCCGGAAACGAGACCCGCTCTCAATGTAGTAGAGTGAAAGTGAAAGAACTCGAGATAACGACAAATGTTTAAATGTTTTCAGGTAAATATATGGTTTTGGCGGGTTAGTTGTGAAGCCGTTGGTGCTGGGAGGGAAAGCGAGGGGTACACAAATGGAGGATACGTCGTCGTTTTGACCCGTTTTGACCCAACGACTCACAGAGCTCCACGTCACTTCTTCACCTACTACAAATTGGCGAACCTACCCCTCGTCTCTCACCTACCCACCCCTCTTCTTCACTCTCTATTAATTATGAAAATGTTATCAGTTTTTTTTTTTAGATTATTTCATAAAATAATATTAATGTCACGTTCTTTTAACTTTATTTCTTCCCGCTTTGGTATTTAGATATTTCGAAATTTAAAAATAATTAATTTAGACGTCATACAAAGTTGGTTGACTTTTTTAGAGGAAAAAATCTAAAGTAATAATAATAGAGGGCGAGTCTTCTTCGTTTGTATATTGAATTTTTCAAAGCTGGGTTTGTAAAAAGCTTAAAAAAATATATTTTTAACAAATCCCATAAAAATGTCAACAATAATAGCTACAACGAGTCACGTGCAGAATTTCCCCTCCAACAATATATATATATATATATATATATATATATATATATAT